CGGTTGTGGATTCCCCAAGAAAATTCACCTGCCTTGGCCTGGGCAACCTGGCAGTATTCGGCCCACTTGCAAATCGTGGAGCGTTTTTCTTTTTATAAAGATTATTGTACCACGATTTGTTTGGCACACAGTCTGGCATCAGACTTGTGTGATATATATATATATATATATATATATATATATATAATATTCGACACTCCTGAGTAAAAATTTCAAATGTACCACAAACAGTATATTGTTTTGCATTCACAAACCCTGACATGAATCGAAAGCTAATACGGATCACAGGAGTAGCGCGTTTTAGATTTCCCTTGTAGTACGGTCATGTGGCGTTCGATACCACTACGACGGTCATCTGCGCAGTATACAATCGCCACACCTGATTTCTTAATCAAGCCTTACAGGATCAACATTGATACAGAATGAAATGTTTAAACATTCGTTGACCTCAGAATATTCCGATACTTTTCAACCTGATTTGTCTACAGCGGTATGACTAAAGTTTGTGTGTAGGCTGAAGGACTACGTGTCGTAGGTAAAGGATTACTAGTTTTGGCTAGAGGATTGTGGTTTAAGGGGTTCTGGGTCGAGGCTAAGGCATTGCGGGTTTTGGTCTAAGGATTACGGCTGAAGCTTGATGAGAAAAGGTGTATTTTTATATATTGAAGGTAAAATCTGGTAAAAGCTGTTTTTAAAGAAATCCATCAACTGGAAATTCACAGTTATATAGTTGACCCAGTGCGACTGGGGATTTTATTACACTATTTACAGGACGATCCTACGTGCGTCGGCATTTTGATCGGTTCTCCTGTCTTATAACGTTCCACCTTACACACTGCATTGTGAGCGTGCCAGCGATCGTTGACGTTCGCTGTACGATATTCACTCATTCGAAATTTATCTACTAATTATTTAATAAAAGATATCCACAGAATGTGAATTCTGTTGTCCGAATTCAGTAAATTCCGCCAACGTAGGTACCGGATAATGGGTGGTGAAAATCCCTGTCGCTAACATATTGACCCAAGATGTCTCACAAGCAAACTACACCACTTCTTTCCTATTGGTTGTATTCTGTAGTTCTATTTCACAATCATCCTCTCAGTGCCTTAAATGGTCGTTGGCTCCCGTATATAGTACATAAATGTCAACTGATCGGCATCGGCTGTCAAAAAGGAAAAATCGGTCTATCTTCTTCGTGTCTTTAAAATCTGCATTCCTAGTAGTTTCGGTCGTTCACCAAAATAGTCAGCTAGTTCCTATTAAATTCTCGGGCACGTTGATTACGAAGTGCTATCTCTTTCCGTAATTCTGTTATTTTAATTATAAATGGGTATCTCAATTCGCAGTTGTACTAATCCCGTTTAGATTTCCCAGCTCATTACTCGTTTATTTTTTTTTTTCGTTATTGTCGCTTGATTGCATTCCTGTTCCGATGGTCATTGTGACAACCATAATTCTAACATTGTAAGTATTACTGGAATTTCATTGCACCTGAAAGTTTTGTACTTCTCATCCCTTTTTCATCTCGCAGCAGTCAAACAGCGTCTTCAAATCTTCAATAGTCCTTATCACAACAGCCTGGATTGTATCATACACGTGATTCGTAATGAGGGGCTGTCCGTACTTTATCGTGCCTATTTCACTCAGCTCACAATGAATGTACCTTATCAAGCTATTCATTTTGTCACGTACGAGGCTGCTCAGGATGTGGTAAATCCGTCTCGACAGTATAAGCCATGGACGCATGTTGTTTCTGGCGGGCTGGCCGGCTGTTTAGCCGCGGCTTTTACTAATCCGCTGGATGTGTGCAAGACCGCGATCAATACTCAGGTAAGAGAACTGTCAATATTCGGTATGGTTTTTGTGCTGTTCCGTGTTCACTGTTATTTTTAGCATCGGTACGTACCCCTATAGGGTCGCATGTGTTCTCGGAAGCATTCCTGCATGAGCCTTCCGAGCGTGTGTGTACGAGAAGCTGATGAAGAACACTTCCATCAATTTTGCCAATCCAATAGTGATTCAGTCACCACGGATAAGCGGTACAACATTAGGCACAGAAATGCAGAACCGGTTCGTAGAACGACGCATACGCACACGGTCAAATGTCTTCATTACACATCTCGTGTGGTAATTAGAGTGGAGATTTAAGTCCTGCGACCGAAATGCATTGTATTCATTGAGTATTCAAAGATCACGATGATTTACATTTTATGCGGAAAAAGGACAGTTAAAATCCAGTCGTGTGACAACTGAGAATAATCACTTATCGAGAGTGACTGTTCATTTTATCTGAACACCGCACCAACCAGGGCATTGCAGTTATTTAGCCGGTGAATTAGACCAGTCTTGCCATATAGTGCGTATCTTTTTCTCGTGATGATGATGTGCTCCTAGTCTGAAATCTAAGTTCGCTCCCATAATCGAACAATCGACCGCAAAATGCTACGACTCACCTTTCAGTGAAGCTCAATTCTACAGAGGCTGTCTTCTGGTTGCTGTTTGAAGAATGGCTGATTATAGCTAACCATGAATCCCTGTAAAATAATAGCCGAGACCGAGCTTCCGGTACCTTTTTGCCCGAGTTCACCACAGAAAGTGGTGTTCGACAGGGTTGTCCTCTCTCTCCATTTCTATTTAACTTTGTTATAGATTTAATTCTTGAAACAGCCCTATCCTCGTACGGGAATAGCGGCTTCGATTTACTCCCAGGTGGC